GGTGTCTAAGAAGTTCTTCCATAAGTTATCTTCTTACATAGTAATGGTCAACTGGCTCTTTAATAGAATTCTCAATTTCTCCATCAGCAAACAATAATAAATGGCAGGAACTGTTGCTATTTCACTCACCATATTATCTCCAGTACTATCACAGTTCAAGAAATATATGTTGAGTGATTGTCTGCATTCATGCAGGTAAGATAATGTACAACGAATTTTGGAATCACCGTACGTGCACTTTCCCTATTGTCATAATAAGATCATGTCATTCTGAACATGGAAACAATCACCTGCTTTACTATTGATGAAATAAATGATCAAATGAAGGAATGGATGCTACAACTAATTTTCACACTTAGGTATGATACCAAAGCCTTTGATCTTTTTGTGCTTCCAGAATGCATGGAAGAGGGAAGGAAGAGAAGGTAGGGGAAGGAGAAGAAAGAGAAGTTTAAGAGAATACTAGTGATCATAAGCCTTAGTTTTAGATGCTTTCATAATATATTTTATCTGTTTTAATGTAAACAAAACACGTCATAAGTAGAAAATATTGTACTTTTTCATTCAATCAATTAGTCAACAAAAATTTATTTATTACCTATTATGTGCATGCCTGTTACACACTTCAGATACCACATGAGCAAAACCATGCATTGTCCCTACTCACATGAAATTAAGACTGCAGTGGATAACATACATATTTACCAAATAAAATCCACATTTAATAAAAACGATTATTGCAATAACTTAGACGATAATATACATGGTACCAGAAAAGGTTAAGAAAGATGATTGAGTTGAAATCAAAAGAATGTTGCTCCAAAGGTAAGACAGGATAATTGAACTGAGATTTAAGGAAATAACCATAAAAGGGTAATTAAGAATCCCAGAAAAAGAAGAAGGGAAGCATCCCAGGAAAAGAGAACACATGCAAAGACCTTGACAGAAGGGAAACTACTACCATTTTTATTCTCTGGAAGATTTCCTGTAAGATTAGTTTCATTTTTTTCTCCAATCTTTGTAGAATTCATTGGTGAAGCTTATGGGCCTGGGGCACTTTTGTGGGATAAATTGTAATTATGGATTCAGTGCAAATAGATTTGGGAGTGTCAGAATTTTTACTTCTTTTTGCATCATTTTGATATATTGTGTTGTCTATGAAGTTTGTACATTTATTTAAAATTTTTTATTAAAAAAATTTTCATCTATTGGCAAAGTTTATAATATTGTCTTACGATCTTTTGAATATCTATAGTGTATATAGATATCCTATATATCCCTATAGAATATAGCTGCCCTTTTTTATCCTGCATGCAATATTTTTTTTCCTTCTCAATTTTTAAACATCTCGATGAGACATTTTCAATCTTAGTTAGTCTTCAAAATACTTTTGGGTTTGTTGATATCTTTTATCATTCATTTGTTCTTATTTTACCAACGGCTTTATGAATTATCTATTTCTATAGTCTTTTTTTTTTACTGTTTGAGCATAATTTTCTCTTTTTGTTCTATTAACTTTTGACTAGCAAAGTGTATGAAAGTTTATATAAGTAAATTCTGACCTTGGGGGGCATTATTTTCTTTCTCTGAAGAGGGTTTGCATTCGTTTCTGACTAGTAACTAGGTTCACTAACTGTTTCAGATCACATGAACTTAATTCTAAAACTGACTTGATACTAGCACAAGTATGATTCCAGTTCATCCTTACTCCTATGTTGCAGCCTGTCAAAGTTCCCAGCCAAAGTGTAATGATAGAACAGGACTCTCCCTCATCTTCTCTAGCTCTGTAGCATTGTTGTAAAGATTTCTCAAGTTGTATGCCTCTCATATACCTCTTGCAGAATTCATAGATCCCAGCAGAGCAGCAATTCCATCTATTGTCTTTCTGGGCTTTCTTTCCATTCTGAAATCCTAGGCTTTTAAGTCTTTTCTGCCTTTTTATCTCTTTGATACCATGAAGTTTTTTTGTTTTTTGTTTTTTTTTTAATTTTGTCCATCTTTTCTAGATGTCATAGTCAGAAAGTTAGTTTGATTTCCTCATCTGCCACTACTGGAAGTGAAAGTTCTAAGGTTTATTTTTATTATCATTTCAAATTTTTAATGATCTTTTTTATTGATTATTCTTCTTAGTATTATATGATGTGCTTTTCCTATCATCAATTATTATCACAACATTTCTGTTTTACAAGTGACTTCAGATTCCCTAGAATTAAAATTTCTTGCTTCAAACATTTATTGACTCTTGAGTGGAATATAAGTTCCATAAAAGCAGGGAATTTGATTCAATAATGTTTAATCAGCACCTTAAACAGTGCTTAGCACTTAATAGGCTCTCCATATATATCCTTGCAATTGAATGAGTGAAAAACATTGAATTTGATCCTTGGCATCCAAATGGAGGATCATGAATTCTTTGTTCATTTTCCACATGATGATTGATTGTCTTGCCTCTTTTCCAAATATGTAACTGGATTTATCCTGAAGACAATATGTAAGGAACATTTACATAGTGTGTTATATAGAACAAGACTTTCTCATCTATTTTGTTTGGACCTCTGGATGTTCTTTTCAGTATATGATTCAAATAACTTCTCTGTATCTTGAGAATTTACTCTTGCAATAAATTGATAAAAAGAGAAGAACTAAATCCACACTGTAGAAATATTATATGCATTTTACAAACATTTAGCTCAAGCTTATATATATATCATCTAGCTGGCTGTGGTGGCTCACGCCTATAATCCCAGAACTTTGGGAGGCCAAGGTGTGAAGATTGCTTGAGCCCAGGAGTTCCAGACCAGCCTAAGCAACATAATGGGACCTTATCTCTACAACAAATTAGCTGAGCATGATGGCGTATGTCTATAGTCCCAGCTATTCGTGAACAGGCTACTGTACTCCAGTCTGGGTGACAGAGTGAAACCTTGGTTCTGGTATTTATCTGTGCTTTCTTACTAGGATATTGATGATTTTCTTAGTTAGGAGTGCTGTAATATCTCAAACCTGTTTTAGTCTAGATCTTCTTTCATTGCTTTGATCTGTGACTTTGACCCTTATATTGGCTTCAGAATCTCATCTTGATCCAAACTTGTCTGGTCAATTCTAGCAGCCAGCTAAGCCTAAAGTGGAGAATTATTTTCTTGGTCTAAAATTGATTCAAAGCCAAGCTTCTGCCCTGGCAATATATGACCTGATGTTTGTTTTAAACTCCACTGCTATTCCTACCTGCGATACAGAGACAACTGAAAATGTATACAGCTCTCATGTAGCAGTCCCTCTGTTTACAGGAGCTCAATGCTAGTGGGAGGGTTTGAGAGTTTTAGGCAGAAAACCTGAGTATTGAAAGCTGCACTTCTTAATAGAGCAGGGCTGACAAAATTTTTTTGAAGGTACAAGTGACATTTATCATTTTTATAAAGTGATTTGGAAGAGGAAATAACATTCCCACTAATCAAAAGCTCTTTCTTTCATTGTTGTTTTTTCTATCCCAGTACAAAGTCCTCCCTCCAGTGACGTTCTCTTGTGTCTAGGATTGGAATCTGGTTAGCTGAGCAATCTTCCCATTCTCTATTTCATTTCCACTTTGAGCTATCCAGGCACTAGTAATGTAAAATGAAACTTCGGTCCACTGCATGTGATTCCACATTTTTGACTCAAACTCTGACCACGTAACTGCAATAGTTACGGCACAGCTATGGGCCTAGGTGACTTGAACCCTTTGTGCCAATGATTCTATGTATTATGAGCAAATTGATCGTGAGAACCTGTGTACAAAACAAATAAAACCTGGTAACAACAGTTGTCTCACAGCCAGAATTAATGCTCATGTAAAGTAAATAAATAAATAAGCCTGCTAGGAAAAGGTAAGGCAGCAATTAGGCATTCCCAAGAGCAAAACTTATGTTCTAAGTGGATTTACACTGGTTCCCCTTGGCCAAAGACTGGTGTTCTAATATACCAGTGTAGCCTGGATGTCTTGATTTTCATCTCTCTTGATTTTTGAGAAGAGCGTGAATACTGCAAGCCAATCATGATGATATCAGTATCTCCTGATCTCTGGCCAGGGCCTCTGTGAATTATGGTATAATAGGAGCTGTGAAAGACAATGGCCAAGAGTCTGTGCACCGGGGACAATGCTGGGTTCGCGTCCTGCCTCTCTCTTAATTCAAGTTTTGAAAGCAAGTTACCCAACTTTCTCAACCTCTAGTTTTTCTCACTGGTAAAATGAGTAGAATAATAATACTTAATCTTGGAGTTAGTGACGGGATTAAATGAGATCCATCTGTATTAAGCACTTAGCACAATAATTGGCCCATTGTGAGCTCTCAATATACATTAGTATTATTTTTATAGAAAAACTTCTCTTTATAAAACAGTAAATTTATTTTAAATGATCCAAACACAAAGATGCTATAGTAACTAAGAACCTGCTTAGTTTGGACTTAAGTTTTTTTAGATGAAAATCTTTGCTGCAGTCAAAGATAGTGCTACTTCTTGTCCCAACATATGAATGTAATTTCTGTACTCTACTGTAATAGACTGGCCTCTTTGTCTGCCTACTCTAGCTGCCTGGGATATGTGAACTATGCCAAGCCTTCCTCACCTATGAATACTTCCTCACACTGCTCCCCTGCATTTCTCTCCCACAACATATTTGAGACTGTTATCGCAATATTCATGGGCATTTTCCTCTTTCTTCCCTCTCAATAAGAATTCTTAATTGTGCTGACTCAGGATTCAGAGTGACCAACATGCCCAAAAACACACTCACATCCATTCACCAACATATAATTGGTAGAGTCTTTTCCAAAGCATTTAAGGACCTAAGTACGCTTATAAATGTAACATTGACCAAAACTTTTTTTGAAGGTTCAAATAGTATTTTCATTCAATTTTATAAAATTTTTTGGCAACAAAAGAAAACATTATATAGAGGTTACTTTTCTCCTATTGGATGGGCAGCTGATGACTGAAGAGGCTTTCATTGCTCAGGCCTGATGCTGCCTTTCTCCATTGGGTCTCTGTGAGCATCACATGCTTTGGGTATCTTTGAAAAGAATCTCCTGAGACCTCAGCATCTCATCTGAGTTGCCTGAATCTCATTCAGAACTGTGTTGAGAGATCTTGCCATCACAATGAGCAACAGATTCATGGGCACCTGGAAACTTGTATCCAGTGAGCACTTTGATGATTACATGAAAGCTCTTGGTAAGAAATGCTCTTTGTTGTTCAGGCTGAGAAGATCCTTCCTGAGAAAGCTCCATGGCATTTTCTTCTAACACTTTTAACAGGATACTGGCTGAAGTTTACACGGGATGAGGTTCAGTTCTTTTCTGGGGTTAATCTTTTTATTGTATCATTCAGATAATTTAATTGTATTTAATTTGTGGCAATTTTAGTAAATTTTTAATAAGATTTAAAAAAATTTAGTAAATTTTTAAATGGGACCTGTTTAAGTGCTTGGATCTCCCACTGATTTAAAAGTCAATTTAAAACTAAGAGAATTTTGGTTGCAGACCCAGAAGAAATTTTAGAGTCTTAATCAATTCTCTGGCTTTCCTAAAAAACTAGTTTCATAATAACTAATGTGTTCATAAAATAAAGAGTTAAACATATTGCAGATACTAGAAAATCTCATTTTAAAAGGTTGATGGTTGGCAAAACTAAGTTTTCTCTCTCTATCCCTATGTAGGCTGTCTTGCATTACATATTCATGTAGATACAGAGCTTCCTAGAATAGGGTGTTCCTAGCCCTGGGAAGTTACTGAGTGAAAAAGAACTGGAGTTGTAGTAGGAATTCAAACTCATTTTAATTTACATCATTTGTTCCTGGAATTGGAGTAGTGAATGGAGATGAAAATCCAGTCATCGGTTACAACTTTATTGTCTAATATTTCTACAGAAAATATTCCATAGATAAGGATACAATAGATGGGAAGAGTCTTTGGAAAAGTTCAGAACTGTGTAAATATAATAAGGAGTGACACCAGCAACCTCAGGTTTCCATGCTTGTCAAAGTGCCTATAGCTTTACTTAACTGTTCAGAAAGCTGTATAAGAAGTTTCTATTTAAGAAAAAATATGCAAAATTATCTCACTGTTGCCTGGAAAAATATGAGAACTCTTGGGGATAGAGCCATACTATGAGAATGATTAGATTTAAACACTCACTTTATAGATCAATGAAGAACTCTCAAATTCCATTGTTTTCAAATTTTAGAGTGCATAAGGACAACTTGGGGTTTAATAAAAGTAGATTCTTAGGCTCTGTCCTAGAGATTATCATTTAATTTGAAAAACGTTGTCATAAATCATATAAAATAACAAAAGATCAGTCAGAATTAGAAGAAAGAATACAGTTTATAGCTCCTTAGTCATAACTCTTAACTTCTTATTTAGTATAGATATGGACGTAAAAGATTTTGTTATTGTTATTATAATGGGAAAAGTAATTCCAAAGGCTGAGAATTTCAACTGGAGTTTAGAAAATTAGTTTTTCTTTTATGTATCTCCTATTTGACATTTCTTTCTTTTTATGTATTTCTATAGTTTTGTTATTAATAGTAATAAAACTTGAGTCAAATTTTGTTTCATTTTTCAAATGTAGAATAAAATCATTTTATTTGTTTATGACCACTTGTTACATTACAAATCTCAAAAATGTATGGATAGTTTTTCCCCATTGGAGCCACAAAATTTCAAAAATGTGATTCTATCCAAAATATGAGGGAAATTCTTTATAGCCATAGTATATTACTGAGAGAAAAATATGGAAGAATATGTATATGGGGGGGGGACCCAAAAATGACATTTATTTACTAAAAAGTTGTATTTATTCTTACATGTTTAAACTTTAGTCACCTTCAAATACACTCCCTTTGATGCAATCCATCTATTGAGACGCTTTTTCCACTGCACAAATCAGTTCTTGAACTTGTCAATTTTATACTTTTTAGTGCTTCTGCCATTTTTTGTGTCATGACTTCCACACTGGCAAAACGGTTCCCTTTAAGGACTTTTTTCGTCTGAGGAAACAACAACAAAAAAGTTGCTCTGGTGAGATCAGGTGAATAGAGAGGATGAGGCATGGGGATCACAGTGTGGTTAGGTGTGCTTGTAAATCACCCATAATAAAATGGGCAAACATGTTGAATGAATCTCCCCCCACCAAAAAAGATTCACTGAAGCTGAACGCAGCCTCTCACAATGCTAGTTGGTACAGTGATGCCGATGGGTTTCTAGAATACTTACCTAATGGGGGATGCCTATACTACAATTTTTTTTCCAGTCCCCCATGGTATGTTATAGCCACATTAAAAATATATAATTAGTGGCTTTGATTGGGAAGTAAGAATGGATATGATAAAAGTAGATGACTTACACCATGTCGACTGAACACTTTTACTCTTGAAAACCTGTAGACATTACTTTTGTAATGACAAAATCTAAAATGTTTGAGTCCTGTACATGTATTTCCACTGGGTAGTGAAACACGGGAGGAGACACTTTGTAGAATAGTAAGTGATACTACCTGCCATCAACACACCTAAGGTACCCCTGAGCATAGAAAGTGTCCACCATAGTCTCTCCAGGTACTTTCTTGGTCACCCTAATTTTAACACTGTCTTAATTTTCAGGTGTGGGGTTAGCCACCAGAAAACTGGGAAATTTGGCCAAACCCAGTGTGATTATCAGCAAGAGAGGAGATATTATAACTATACGAACTGAAAGTACCTTTAAAAATACAGAGATCTCCTTCAAGCTAGGCCATGAATTTGAAGAAACCACAGCTGACAATAGAAAAACCAAGGTAATCTTTAACGTTTCTCTTCAACACTGGCCCAGTTGACTGCTTGAGAGAGAAGATTATTCCTGCTAGTGTTTAAAAGGGTAAACTTCATTCTGCTGAAAATGAATGTGCCTCATGAGACATCTATTATGAAAATGGTTCAGTACTGAATGAACTGTTTCTTTAATCAACCAAAGTCCAGGCAAGTCAATTGCATGAACTTGTCTTTGCAGAGCGTTGTAACCCTGGAGAGAGGTTCATTGAATCAAGTACAGAAATGGGATGGCAAAGAGACAACAATCAAGAGAAAACTGGTGGATGGGAAAATGGTAGTGGTAAGAGTATTTTCACTTCTAAATACAGAAATACTGCGGTATACAAAAATTGATTACATTATATTTTCAAAATTCTCCTTTTTCTTTGGAATAAAAATGAATAAAAATGACTGAGAATAAAGTCAGAGTTAATGCTTAGTTAAGCCATAAGAGACTCATCTTCAAGTACTGGACCAAGATTTTAGAAATTTTAAAAAGCCAATTTGTTATTTTAAAAATAAAAGTTTCAGTCAGACGCGGTGGCTCATGCCTATAATACCAGCACTCTGGAAGGCTGAAGTGAGAGGATTACCTGAGCCCATGGGTTTAAGACCAGCCTGGGCAAATTGGTGAGACCTCATCTCTACAATAAATCAAAACATTGGCCGAGCGTGGTGGCGCATGCCTGTAGTTTCAGCTTCTTGGAAGGCTAAAGCGGAAGAATGGCCTGAGCCCAGTAGATCGAGGCTGTGATGGCCGGGAGTGTGCCACTGCCCTCCAGCCTGGGTGACAGAGTAAGACTCCAACACAAAAAAAAAGAAAGAAAGATAGAAAAGTATCTTAAAATGGTAGCAAAGTTAAAGAAAGTTTAAACTAATCTTACTAGTTTGGACTCACAAAGAAAAAGTAAGCCTAAACTTCGAAAGCAAAATAAACTTCAAAAAGTTTAATTGTAGAATATTAGCATATGTTAACAATTTAACAAAGTCATCTGTTAACAAAGGTGTCTAACAATCAAGAACCTATGGTAACCAAGAATAAGCCCTGTCAATAATGCAAGCTGAGCTCACTGGACACATCTTCTAATTAACGGATAAGAATAATGACAAAGGTTACAAGTGATGACCTCTAATGATATTTTTAAGGTTAAGGTTCAGTGTTTACTAATTAACACATACATTGACTATAAATACTCAAATAATCCTTTGAATGTTTCTTTCTTTGGTATGTGGTTCTTAGCCCTTGCTGCACAATGATTTACATGGGGAGTAAATACCAATATGGGGCCCCAACTCAGATAATTAAATGGAAATCTCTCAGGGTATTTAAGTGTTCCCCAGGTAATGCAAATAGTTTTGAAAACCAGTGTTTTGGTAGATTTAAATACATGCAACTCATGTATTAAAACTTGTTAAAACAATTTTCTACAGTAACATAGATCAACTTTTAAACTATTTCTCCTATTTCAATGGTCATAATTCCAAATTAGGAGACTGACATACGGGATATTTTATTCCTTTCCAAAATAATCTTACAACTTTATTTTGAGTTTTTATTTTTATTACAAATTTGCTGTTCTCTGGTTTCAGTTTGAAATGCTCAATTAATCTCTCTCTTTTTTAAAGGAATGTAAGATGAAGGGTGTGGTCTGCACCAGAATCTATGAGAAGGTCTGAAAAATTATTTCCTCATTGAAGTGGGTTTTGATCATTTAATGTTGGAAATCATTTACTTTCATTGTCAAAACCTGAACACGCTGCAAAAGTTTGTTTTTACTTTTGTCTTAATATGTCAGGAAGGCAAAGGCCTAAACTGAAAATTAATCTAAAATTCAGTGTCATTTCAGCATTTCTAATTTGCCTGCATGTCATTAATATATTAAAGCATATATATTGGTCAGACCTAAACAGTTGATAATACCATTTGTTTAACTGTGAAATTTTAACCTATGTTGTATTTTGTACGCTTGAAATGTCAATAAAAATGAAATAATAGGTTAGTGAAAAGAAGTAAAGGTATTGATTTGGATTGCAAACTCAAATGCCATCAGAGAACAGGAGAGTTATGAGAGAGGAGCTTCAGAAATGAGGCAATCTAGAAGCAGTTGTTTTGAATTGAACAGTTGTAATATTAGCTAAAAGGGGTAGCCTCTACCCTAGCCAATTATAAGCTCCATTTTGGAGGATAAATAATGAGCCATAGAATTACTGGGTCTAGTGATTTTTGACACATGGAAATGAGGGATCATTGTATCCAAGAAATAATGAAACTTTCAGATGTATTATTATATGACTGATAAAATGTGTTGATGTTGATGGGAACCAAGGTGTTCACTGTGGTAAAAGGAACTTGCAAATATGGAATGAGGGAAGGCAAGAAGAGTCATGTAGGAATGGAATGAAATTGTTGTAAATTCATAGTTTCTAAACCATGTATATGTGTCATAATTGCACGTGCATTCCTGCATGTGTGTGTGATGTATATGTGTATTTATGTGCATATATATATATGCATACACACACATATACAAGGTTTTCCTAGCTTTATCTGCGAAGAGAGCTTAGAAGCAAAGACACCTCAGTAGGAATGAGCATACCTAGCACTGAGATCTTTGTGTCTAATATCATTCTCCAATTAAAGGAACCAGGGTTACTTGGGAAAATGGTTAATTCCAAAACAAGAGTAAGACAAGTACAAGATGAGCCTGAAAAATCATGTTACACCAGAAAGCAAAGAAATGTTCAAAAAAATAATGAGCATGTCACCAAAACATGAAACCAGCTTGAAGGGGTTCTATTGGCCAAGGCTGAGATAGTCTGAGTACAAAATGACTGAGAAAAATCATAAATATAAACCATTGGGAAGAAGGAAGAATCAATGAATCCATATTGATATGGTAGATGATAGATTAGATAGGTAGGTAGATAGATACATAGATACATAGATGTCTTCCTCATAGTAAAATGTCATGGGCCAACTGGTAAATGTGAAAGAAGTTCTGGTATTGGAAAGCCATCGTTTTTCAACCATTATAGTAACTATGGATCATTGAAGAATTATCAATGAATGCTAGAGCTAGGGAGAAATTTTGATAAGGAGCAGCAAATTAGTTTGGCCTTAAAGTATCTCCTCATGGCCGGGCTCAGTGGCTCAGCCTGTAATCCCAGCGCTTTGGGAGGCCGAGGTGAGCGAATTGCCTGAGCCTGCGGGTTCGAGACCTGCCTGGGCAACTTGGCGAGACCCCATCTCTACAATAAATCAAAAATTAGCCGGGCGTGGTAGCGCGTGCCTGTTGTTCCAGCTACTTGGAAGGCTGAGGCGGAAGGATCGCTGGAGCCCAGCGGGTTGAGGCTGCAGTGGCCAGGAGTGGCCACCGCACTCCAGTCTGGGCGACAGAGTGAGACTCCAACTCAAAAAAAAAAAAGTATCTCCTCACATATTGCTTAGTAGTTGTGAGGGAAATAATAGTAACTATGCATTGGAAAGTGGGACATCCCCCTGACTGGGTTATCAAACTAACCTCATTAATAAAGGGCAGATGAACAACATGTGCCTTCAAGCACAATACTCTGAGAAGAATGCATCATCACTTATGTAGTATTCTGACCTGAGGTCCACACTTGAATCTACTCATAAAAAAACATCAAATTCCAAATGAGGAATGTTCTGTTAAAAATAAGGAGAGGATGTTGACTGAATTCTTCAAAAATGTCAACGTCATAGAGGACAAAGAAAAGTGGTGAAAATGGGCTAGGTTAAATTATATAAAAAATACATGACAATAAAATGCAGTAAGTGATACTAGACTAGATCCTGTGCAAGAGGTAACATAAATGCTTCAAAGGACAATAGTAGACCAACTGACAAATTAGAATGTAGATGGTGGATCAGATAAGAAGTGTACTGCGATTAAGTGAACAATAGACCTATTGACAAATGCACACACTGATGTATTTTGAGGTAACGGGCCACAATGTAAGCAATTTACTCTCAGAAATTCAGAAATATATATTTATGTGTTTGTGTATGTGAGACTATAAAAGGTATATGTGTATTCTTTTAATTAGTCTGATCCCTACAACTTTTCTTTAAGTTGGAAATTATTTCCAAACATTATTTTTTAAAAAAATTCTGTACTTGGTAAGCTCTTCTATTTAGCCTTTAAATGTCTGTGATGGATTTGTTTGTTTGTTTTTTGATTTTTTTGGTTTTGTCTCTAGGAAGATAAACCCATAAAAGAAGTGTTTAAGAACTGCTATTTTTAGAGCTTTGTGATAATATGACTTGTTATAAAATGTATTTTTCAATAAATATAATTGCTCTACTAAACAAAAATCATAGGTGCTTTTTACTTTCATAACAGGAAAAGTAGAACTACACTGATAATAAGGAAGACCAAAATAATTATTTCAGCAGATGGTACATATTGCTAGATTTGAAAAATGTTTTCAAACAACCATAGAGAGGAGAAAACAAAACCAAACAAAAGTTGATGTCTCAGTCCATGCAGGCTGCTAAAACAAAATACTATAAACTAAGTAGCTTATAAACAACAGAAATTTATTTCTCACAGTTCTGGAAGCTAGAAAGTCCAAGATCAAGGCATGGCAAATTCAGAATCCAGTAAGGAGCTGTCTTCCAACTCACAGAAAGCAGTTTTCTGGCTCAGTTTCTTGATTTTGGCATCTTCTGGCTGCATCCTCACATGAAGAAGAGATGAAAAAGCTACCTTGGACTTATTTTATAAGGGTACTAATCCCATTCATGAAGGCTCCATTCTTACAACCTATCTACCTTCCCAAATGTTCTGCCTCCTAACACCATCAACTTGGGGGTTAGAATTTCAACATATGAATTTGGGTAAGACATGAACATTCAGACCATAGTACTTGAGTTTTGTAACATAAAAAAATAGTCTCTGAATATAATTTTGCTTCTCCACTTCTTTTTGATGTAACATGATAGTTAAGAACAGAGATCACCTAGTTCAAATTCTAATTTGCTATTTACTAACTGTGTGTCATTGGGCGAGTTACTTAAAATGGGGAGAATAATAGATACCTCAAAAAACTGTAAAAAAATAAAATAATAAAATAAGTAAGGCAGGGCCGGGCATAGTAGCTCAAGCCTGTAATCCCAGCACTTTGGGAGGCTGAGGTGAAAGGATTGTCTGAGCCCACAGATTGGAGAACAGCTAGGTAACTAGGAGAAACCTCATCTCTACAATATATCAAAAAATTAGCCAGGCATGATAGTGCATGCCTGTAGTTCCAGCTACTTGGAAGGGTGAGGTGGAAGGATCACCTGAGCTCAGCAGGTCAACGCTGGGGTTGCCGTGAGCACGCCACTGCACTCCAGCCTGGGTAACAGAATGAGACGCCAACTCAATAAATAAATAAATACATAAATAAATAAGGCAATATATGTAAAGGGATTACAGCAGTGTGTGACACACTTCTGTTATTATTATTTAACTAGTATTATTTATGATGTTCAAATAAATCATTTTATTACGCTTCAAAATGAAGAGAACTCACAAGATCCAGAGCTGTTGATGTTTTTAATTGATGTGCACACGAAGTGACAAAATTTATTAAGAATATTATTTACATAAAAGTAAAAACAATCAAGAAACCTGTTAAGATTAATCAATAGACAAGTCAACAAAAATTGCGGTATAACCATCCTAATCTAAGCAACTCTTAAAAATGGAAACTGATGCTTTTCTACTCTAACCAAAATAACGGTTAAATAAATACATTTTATTCCAAAAGAATAAATAACATCTGATGTTAATCAAATAGTGATTGCCATACCTGATCTCGTTCTCTTTGAAGCAGTGGTGCACTGTATTTGGCTAAAATTGACTCGAGATAATCGTTGGCTGGGTGTGGTGGCTCATGCCTGTAATTCCAGCCCATGGGGAGGCCAAAGCAGGAGGATTGCTTGAGCTGAGAAGTTCGAGGCCAGCCTGGGCAACATAGCGAGACTTCCTCTTCACAAAAATATGTACATACATAAATACATTTTAAAAAGTTAGCCAGGCATGATGGTACACTATTATAGTCACAGTTACTCAGGAAGTTGAGGAGGGAGGATCACTTGAGCCCAGGAGTTAGAGGCTGCAGTGAGTCATGATCGTGCCACTACACTCCAGAGTAGAGTGAGACCCTGACTCAAAAAAGAAAAAAAAACTCAAAAAAAGAAATAACTTATATTTTCAGAAATTTGGCAAGCCAGATGTTAAACCATTAATAACCTGAAGTCAGTTATGATGGGCACACTCACACCAGAAAAATAAGCTAACACAACCAGAGCTTTGCTTCTTAGGGAGCTTATTTTAAACATTTCCTAGCACACCATTGACTAGAAGTAGCATAATATTTGGATTTTATTAATGAGAGTCTTAATTTCATGCTGATTATAATATTTCTTTAACTTCATGCTGGTTAATATTTGTAATGTTTGACTAAATATTTACTGTACGTTAAAACTTCTTTAAACGTTATTCTACTTGAGTTGGAGTCTCACTCTGTCACCCAGGCTGGAGTGCAGTGGCATACTCACCATCCCTGCAGCCTCAACCTGCTGTGCTCTGGCAATCATTCTGCCTCAGCCTTCCAAGTAGCTGGAATTACAGGCGCGAGCCACCACGCCCGGCTAATTTTTTGATTTATTGTAGAGACGAGGTCTCACCAAGTTCCAGGCTGGTCTCGAACCCCTGGGCTCAGGCAATCCTCTCATCATGGCCTCCCAAAGTGCTGGGATTAAAAGTTTCAGCCACCGTGCCCGGCCCTGCTTTGCTTTTAATAAGATGATTTCTTCTCATCTAGGTTGCACCTCTCTAAGCTTAGCTGTACATTAAAATCACCTGGAATCTTTCAAACAAATGAATAACAAGATTGCATCTCAGACCCACTGAATTATAATCTGTGGGTGATAAGTGAGGCCCACTCATCATTATTGTTCAAAGATAATCTTAGGCACATTAAAATTTTAAGCAATTTATTTGAGTAAACAGGATTCCTAAACTAGACAGCACCAAACCACAAGTGGTTTTGTCTCCACTGAGGGGGTGCCAGAGAAAAAACTTTTATAAGCTGTTTTCAGAAGTAAGACAAAAAATTTTTTGAGTGGTTAAAATAGTAAGTCCCCAGTTCAAG